CATCCATACTCGTCGCCCATAATTGCTCGGTGGCGCATTCGATCGACAAATACGGCTCCGAAGAGCTCAAGTCTAAATATCTGCCGAAATTGGCCTCCGGAGAATACCTGGGGGCGTATGCCTTCACGGAAAGCCACTGTGGTTCTGACATGGATGCGTGCAAAAGCACGGCTCGTCAACTTGTAGGAGACGACCACATGGTCGTATCAGGGAAGAAGGTCTTCGTTACCAACGGTCAGTTTGCGGATTTGTTCCTGACTTTTTGCCACGTGGAACACTTCTCTGGCGAACTCGCAGACGAACACCGCAAATCCTCGATTCTCGTCATCGAACGCGACTCTCCCGGCGTGAAAATAAACCGGTCGATTCCCCTCAGAGGACTTCATGGGAATGGTCTGGCGTATGTGACATTCGAGAACGTGCGAGTGGGTAACGAAAAAATCATCGGTGAGTCGGGAGACGCAGCGAAAATAAACAGTTCTATTCATCATGTAATGCGGTTCTCGGTCTCGGCCGCGATTCTTAGCGCACTCAAGACGGTTTACGGTAGACTGGTGGAGGACGTCAACGAGGAAAAATGCGGCTCGAGACTACTCAAAGAGGATCTGACCGTGCAGAAAAAGATCACAGAAATGGCTGCGAATATCTACGCGTTGGAAAGCATACTCTATATGAATGCAGCCATCGAAGACGCGGTCGAAAAGCCTCAAACCGTGCTCGAGATGACGGTCGCCGCGCGTGCCGCCACGGAATACGCGGTGGACTGCGTGGGAACCTGCTTGGACATCTACGGATCGGAGGCTTTCGAGAAAAGTCATCATGCGATCTCTCTGCTGCGCGATCTGAATTGCATCGAATGGTTCCACCAGACGCCAAACTTAGCGAAGTTATTCATTGCGATGAGAGCTGCGCAATTCGCCGGTTCTGTGATGGACTACAGGGTCAAGATCGCCAGAGATCCTTTGACTCATTTCGGGGACATGATTAAGCTGGTAAGACGGGGATATCGATTCGAGAAGGGAGAGAACAAAAAATGTCCTTACGAAAACGTGCTTCACCCCAGCCTCGTGAGTCAAGTCAGGACAGTAAACTCGCTCCACGGAAGACTGGGAGACGTGTTCGAGAGTCTACTTGGCGAGTACGGCGCTCAAATCTTAGACTTCCAAGTTCCGTTGATGAGATGTACCAGAATGATTCAGGATGTCTCGCTGCTGACGGCAGCTCTGTCGAGACTCAACCGTAGCGTTTCGCAGGGATCAGAGAGCGTGGAACTCGAGCTCGAGTTCTTCAATGTGCTTGCGGACAAGTCAAGAAAAAGTCTGGTGCAATACGGGAACGAGGATCTTTTGCTGGAATACTCGACGCTCCAGACTCGACTCGACGTTTTCGAAAAACTACTGCTCGATGGGAAATATACTCTCGAGCACCCTCTAACGAAGAACTTCTGAGTGGCGAACGCGGCCCTCGTAGTGTTTTGTATAAAGATAGCTTTATAAAAATTGATTGGACTGTTGAGTCTGTGTGAGAGAAAGCGATTCATTCATATAAATATACGAGTAAGGAATATTAATAAATGCCCGACGATGACCTACGTGTTTTCCCGGACCACCCGACCCCGACAGCGAGGGGGATTCTTCGCAATCAGGGGAATGCATTACATGGGACTCTGCTCATCCAGAATGACGGCTGACGGTTTCGCGATGAGATAGGTATGCGAATTCGAATAGTGGCGCCACTCGACGCATGCGCACCGCCCGCTCGCCTCTGAGCAAGGACGTTGAGGAGAAAGAAGCAGCTCCAGATGAAAACATTCTCCGCGCGTGAAGGATGTGGTCTGCGTCCGGTGTTCTCTGAACACCTGGGCGATGTCAAGAAATCCCCATTTATTGTGAAGCTAAGGGACGAGTGCTCAATTTTGAGATGTTGCGTTCGCACAGAAGAATCCTGTGGGCTCTGAGGCGGAGCTTCTCCACCGGAATCGATCAGCCCAAACCGAAAAAAGAGTTACCAAATTCAACCCGAAGAAACATGAGATCTTCATGCAGGATCTTCTGGACAGAGAGTCTCCTTTGCTTAGGCTCGGTGAAGAAAAATCGGTTCGGCCACCCTTCCTCAAAGAAATCTTCATGAAGAAGTTTGATGAGCGTTTCCTCACCTACCCCGAGGTGCTCGATACCGGGAGATCGGAAAGCATCAACGCACTCTATGAGCGAGTCAAGGAATATGTGGACGGTCTACCCCCTGACTGCATGCGGGACGGAGTTCCCGCTCAAGTTATGCAGGACTTGAAATCACTAGACGTCTTCAGTATCCTTCTGCCATTCTCCGAAAAAGGACTTGAACTCACGATCACTGAAATGTGCAGGATCTTGGAAGCCTTCGGTTCCCAGCCCTCGTTAGGATCGGTTGTGGCGACGCAAACCGTCGTCGGGATGCGCGCTATTGACCGACTCGCACCGAGTAGATACCGATCGGAACTTTTACCGCTCCTAGCCTCCGGGAAACCGGTTGTCGCATACGCGATCGATGAAGATACTCTCGGCGGGGCGAAAACCTCGGCTCGAATCGATGGCGACGAGTGCGTACTCAACGGCAAGAAAATTTTCGTTCGCTGTGGTGAAACCGCCGAGGTGATTGTCGTCATTTGTGACTTTCAAGGAATGGGGGAATCAGGTCGAGCGGCAATCCTCGTAGATCGGAAAGTCGAAGGCGTAGTCCTGCAGAAGACCTCTTCCCAATTCCATGGTCTCGAAGGCAGCGGCATCTCGACGGTGTACTTCAAAGACGTCAGAGTTCCTCTGGATTGCGTGCTCGGTCTCGAAGGCAAACGATCGCAGCTCGCGGAAAGTATCACCTCGAACATGCGATGCGCTGCTTCTGCGACGGCAATCGGCGCGAGTCGACAGGCTTTCAACGAAGCTTTCAAGCACACGTTCGCCAATGATCGTTTCCGGGCACGTCTTTGCTCCTACCAAGTCATACAAGAGCAGGTGACCGTTATGGCCTCGGAAATATTCGCGATGGAAAGCTGTCTCTACTTCACGCTGGCGATCGACGACGTTGTTCAAGACCCAGACACGGTCATGGAATCTATCGCGACATCCCTTCTCTGTCTGGAGGGTTCGAGTCGGGTACTGAACCAAAGCGCTGACATATTCGGAGCCAGTGGCAGACAGCTGACGCACAACGCGACCCGGTGGCTGGACGATATTGTGACTTCGCCGTTTTTCTTCGACTCGCCTCGCAGTCTTTCAGCTTCGATCGCCCGTATCGGACTCGGAGGCCTCGCGGAGCGAATCGCGAGAGAACCTCAAAAACGACGAGCTCTCGTACCCGTTCTGAGCAGCGAGGACAGTCCCTTGCAGCGGATCGTTTCCAAAGTGAAGAAGGACAACCCGACGAAAAACGGTAAAATCTATCAGTTCCTGCACCCGAGCCTGATCAAGGCTGCCAATATTCTCGATTACTGCCAAAGGAGATTCGGGGACACCTGTGAGGCTCTGGTGCTGAAATTCGGAGAGGACGCTGCCAAGAACGACATTGTCCAGAGTCATGTCACGGAGATGACAATGGACATCTTCTTGCTGACGAACGTACTGTCGAGGTCTTCGCGATCCTACTGCATCGGTCTCTTCAATGGCTACGAAGAGATCAAGGTAGCCAGTGTGGCGTCGAGACTGGTCCTGCCGAGATTCGAGAACCGTTTAGCGGACCTTCACGCGATCCTCGATGGAGGTACGCTCCCCGGGGATTCGAGCGCGGCCTCAATGATCCTCGCAAAAAGAGGATATCCCGTCCTGCATCCAATCAGAAAATTGGCAAAGACACAGATACCCCCGGGGTCGGGTACGATATCGTAGGAAACGTTTTGTAAATAGTCACAGATTCTGAATGCAGATGTCCCCGAGCTCAGGCAGAGGAAAGTTGAATAAATTACACTCGAGTCCTGAATTCAATCGTTCTGTTCTCTCGTACAATGTAGAGGCTCCCGATAGAAGTCGGAGGGAGTTCCTCTATTCCGACGATTTATGCATCCCCGGGAACGAATTCCGACGAAAGCTTCGCTCATTCGACTAGGATTGCAGCGTGCACCTGTTCGAGTCGGAAACGGCACGCGTTCCGGCTGCCGAGCCTCACCTTACGATTCGACTGCTCGCGGAACACTGTTTCCGAAGCGGAGTCGAACGCATACGATTGCGTCAAGTGTTAGGCTTGTCAGATGCAAATTCGTTATATTCTGACTTCGAGCGTAGTCGAGAAGACGGTCTACTCGCAAGATCGTGGGGAAGGCTCACGAAAGGCGCGGCCACTCCGGATTGAGTGTTGACTTTACGCAGGAGAAAGACGGAGCAGGAGATGAGGAGGCAGGAAGAAGAGACGAAGGCGCACAGTCGCTTCATTTTTAATTTGGATGCAAATGTTAAACCGTGCGGAAAAACGAGTTGACACCACCCGAGCGAGCTCGGTTAGACGAGACTTCTCAACGCAAAAACGTCTCCGAAGGAGATCCGTTTCTGACATGCGTCCTCTCGTCCGGTAAATAAATCCTCTCCCGGCTCCACCGCTATTCAGAGATTCATTCAACGCTCATGAGAATCTTTCCGCGCCTCTCCCGAAGGAAATCTGCCAGGGCTAGGCGAGATTTCAATTTAATAGACGAAACGGCTTCTGCTACCGTCTCTCCGAGTCTAGGGGAAGAGCACGTACTACAAATCTCAAACGATTCTCTTCCTGCCGCCCATTAGCGATTTCGTTTCCTTCGGTGAATTTCCCCGAGGACTTCCCGAAGCTCGGCGCGAAGCCTCGAGATTACCAGATTAAAGCAAGCGCGCTCGTCCTTATTGGGCCCAGGGACGCGATAATCGCTTGAACCTCACGTTAAGCCACGTACGTGCGTACGTACGTACGTACGTACGCTCCTACTTCTGTCTGGTTAGACTGAGTCGCCCCTCAAGCCTTGCTGGAACGCTAGCAAACGGTTTGTTCTGTTCCATACGTACCTCGTTGCAGGGTCATGTCGAAAACATTGATGCCTCCTTCGAGAGTGCAATTCCAGCGTTCATTCCGGAATTGTTCCTGGCATTCCACGATTCCTCGACGCGCGCCCTCAGATATGGCCAATAGAGCGTAAGGGTTCCGATGACAGAGGTCCAGTTGTTCTGCCACCAGACCCGGGACGGCGCTACACAGCTCTGACAGCCGTACTGCCAGAGGGTCCACCAGAGGTGTTGGGGAACCGTCATCGACCGAGGGTTGATCGCCTGCCAATCTGTCAGACGACCGGATCGACTGATAGTCAACTAGTCCGAGGTACCTGCAACGGAAATTCAGTGAGTCACTCCTATGTACGCGTCCGTCTATTTCAAGTTTTCTCCGAACTGAATTCATGCAGCGTGACGCTGAGATCTTCGCAGACCTCAGATTGTCGGGAACCGCCATGACCAGGGCCCGCGTGTCGCTCCAGCTCCAGCCGAGCGTACTTCGCGCGTTTCATCTCAAACTATTCTCTCCGAGCAGATATGGAGGCAGCGAATCATCGACCCGGAGGCGGATCGTCGACGAACGCGGTACCTGCATGCGGTTCGCCGGGAACAAACACCGAGGAGAAGCGTCCGGACGCATCCAGTCCTGGTTTACTTGAAACGGAATCCGATGCTATCGGTCTATTCGGTCTATCTCCCAATCTATTCCGTCGACGTCGGTCGGCCTTTACTTCTTCAGAGCTGATTCTGCTTCGAACTATTGGAGGCATGCTTGCTCTTTTATCCGCCCGATCTAATGTATTGATAGAAGCTTCGGCGGCTGAGGTCTTTTCTTTTAGTGGACTAGAGTCCCGAGCGAGCACTAACAACAGTAAACCGATATATCGGAGTGCTCCGTCTCTGGCGAATCTATCGCCGAGATTCTCCACGGGTGGAAGAGAGTGATCCATAACTCCTTAAACTCGGAAGAGTCCGTCCTCGGTCTGAATTGGAGTCCCGCGGGAGCTACGTATCGCATCGGTGATGCGGGGAATGGCGACGGCATGGATGAAATTCGATCATTCTCCATCGGTCACCTGAACTATTATTCCATCAGGTGGCCCATAATTTCCTACACTTGAGGCCTCGTCCCTCAACCTCTATCTCCAGAAGACTCGGACCCAGTTCCGTTTCGGGCCGCTCTTCGCCGCGATTGCGCGTCGATGCATAATTCCCAAACTGAAGTGACACCCGAACCACATTCCCAAGAACCCCTCTTCGAAAGGGGCAGGGAGTCGATGTTCTATGCTTTCATCGATCCTCCGAAATCGTGATCATCCACGGAAGTCATATCCTTTTTTGTCGGGGCCGATTCTTCAATCGTAGGTGGGTCTCGATCGGGACTCTCGCTGATCTTGTCCGCGAGAACGACTTGCCACGCGAGAGATGCGTCTCGACGAGAGGAGCCAGAAATGCGGATACATGGAGAGGCGGGCGATCCGCAACACAGGATAAGAGCTGCAGACGGGGGAGTCTGCTGAAATCTCTCTAAGACATCCTGCTGCTGTTTGGAGCTGTCAAAGTCTGTATTTCAGCTGTTCTCGGCGAACGTCGCAAATTGCACCCTATGGATGGGAGTTGGCGGAGATGCACTGCTCGATCTCTTCACGCCTCGGAAGGAAAGCAGAAGAGGAACGACGAGTCTCTTTTGCAATGGGTACGTTTCTCGCTCTGCCCATAAGGGCAACTCTTGGCAACGAATTGTGGGTTTTACTTCCTGGCCCGAATCGAGATGACGGTGATTGCTTTTTCTTTCCGAAGATAATGTCTGTCTTCGGAGTGGGAGCAGGACTTTTATGATGCTCAGTGCCTTGTCGCTGGGTCGGAGAGACAGATCGTAGACCTTTCGCCGAGCCCGCACGTGCAGAAAAATCTATCCGCCGAGTTTCCTCGGTGTGTTCCCGGATCGACTTCACTTTCGAGTCTCCGAGAAAAATCACTGCAATCAGCGACGGATCCTTGGAATCATCTCTATATACGGGATATGTGATCTGCCGTACCGGAAACGTGTTCTGGGTTGAGGTAAACATTCGAGATCCGAAACGGTATTGCAATGACGCGGCGCGCACAGCGCGGTGTCACCGCTGTTACCCTTCGCCGCACGTGAGTTTTCCTGACCACATATCCGCGTACGTGAGTGAACGAGAACCGCTCGGTGGAATTACGCGGTTGGCTCGATTTCTGCCTCTGTTCATCATTACAGAACAAGAAAAAACCAATGAGTACATGGTTGTGATGGCGGCGGCCGACGCTGAGAGCAGTGATCGGAATAACTAAGCAGGCTTCCGGCTGGTGTCTCTGCAGCCAATTGCCTTGCTGCCCGCATCCCCACAAGCTTGTCAACACACGAGTGAAACTCTTAGCAAGGAGCTCCCTCTGACCGACTCGGGCTGACTGAGAGAAAAATGACAAATGATGATGTACAAGGCTACTCAAAGAGGGAAATGCTTCGTCACTCTGCGCAAGTGACGTCGAAGTCGACGGCGCTAATTGACAGCGGAACAGAAGCATCTCGGTGTTCTTCGACGATCCTTCAAAGACCCAATGGAGACAGTGTCAGCGAGTCTTTTTTCCGCGGATGGTCGAGCAGGTAGCGATGAATTGTCATTTCGATCCCATCCATTTTTATTGTGGGGAAGCTAACCTCAAACAGCTAGCCTCGAGAAGAACGCCGCCGTATACCGTCGACTGATCGACTGCCTCTCGCGCATCACTAGCGTTCCGACCCGTAAATTCTCAGTGTGACTTCAGTTCGTGATCCTCGAGGACTTCAGCCCGGACCTCTACGCTGAGGAATAAGCAGGTCGAGTGAAGGGAACGTCGCGTTCGTCTCTGCCGCGGGGAACTTCGCAGCGTGGCGTCGATGATCACCCAGATGCGTCTCAGACTCCTCAAATCGCAGATTAAATTGAGGATTCGAGGGTAATTTCTAGAGACTGGCGAATGACGTGATCGTCCACACCTTCGATCCGTGGTAGCCGCTTTCTTGCTCCTCATGCTCCACTCCACGTCGATACACCGTCCGAACGACATCGACGGAGGAATTTCCAGGGTTTTGAGACTTTCCATGAATCATGGAGCTTCCCGTCTGGTTCCTCGGAGGGGAGGCTCGATCCAGGAAACAGTTCGAGTCTCTCGAGTCCCATACCGAGTCCGCGAACCTGCCGGGATCTGCCGGGGTCACGTGTCCCAACCTCAAAACTGCAGAAGCGGACCAGGGCTTCGAACGAAATGTAATTATCAAGCCACGTTGGATGCATTTTGAGGGGCATCGAGAGGTATCGGTTCGAAGAGGAATCAAGTGCAGAGTCCTTCTTGGGCATTGGCGAGTCAACTCGCAACTGGTACCCAAGTCCCGAGTCCAAAGTGAATTCGGGAGAAACTTGCTCGCGCTTGGGCACGCATGGAGCAGTAACCGTTGGCGTTTCATCCGATCGGTCCAGCGAGGAAACTTCCCCGACCTGTCAATCGCGACGGGAATGCGCACGGACATTGTAAAATATCTGAATTCCTCTCTCGACTCCTCACTCGAAACGTCTCCGCAATTTTCAGGAATTCCCAGTACCTTCCGGGAATTAATCAGAATTTCCTCTTGATTGGACCGGAAGTTACTCACATCCAACTTCCAGAAGATGCTGTCACGATGCCAATGAAGGCCAGCTGGAGACTCCAGACGAACAGCTCCATTTTGAAATCGGCTGAAAAAAAATCACACACCAGTTGACCAGCACGCGTTCAAAACAGTGGCGCCTCAGGGCGATACGAACTACTCGTCGCAAGCGGAAATTCGCAACTGAGCCACAACATTTCTTCGACCCCTCTCCCAGGACAACCGCCGCCTCTCCACTCGACTCCACTCCACCTCCTGGGCCCGTGACGTCACGCGATTGGATTCTCGGATTGGTCGGTAGCACCAACAAACACGAGTCAGCCCCGCTGGCTTTTTCGAATTAATCGAGGTCCACCGAGTTGCTCAGGACAAACGAGAGGAACATTTTAAGAGCGTTCCTCTGGAAAATCTTGAATTCTGCTTGCACCGAGCTCCTGGTGCGGGCAGGCTCGACGTTCTTGGGGATCGTTTGAGGAAACTCTCGACAGGCAAGAGCTCGGAAGAGAAAACTCTGCTCCGAAGACAGCCATTGAGATGTAGAAGACTCTATCATTCTGTGAAGGATGCCCGGAACGGATAGAGATTCTTGTGCGAGCTCTTATTCGGATTGGGAAACCCTGTGCTGGTCAACTTATGGGTGATTCGCTCGGACGTGAAGGCTCCCCACGGACGGAGGCTAGTTTCGCCAATCGGGCCGGCAAGACCGAGGCAAGACCGAAAACACAATCCGCGGATGGGCTCATTGAGAATGCAGAACGCTCGATCTGAGGCCTATGAAGACGGTAGGAAGAATAAAGGAGAAAAGTATTCTGTCTGAGGGAAGTTCTCGTCAGTTTCCTTCATCAAGCGTGGACTTCATCGTGGGGTCTTCGGATGGCGAGCGTTCGTTCCTCGGAACTTATCATGACTCTATGAAGTGGTGACCCTGGTGACCTCATTCCAGGAGCGAAACCTGTGTAGGATCCCTCATGATGTCGGTTAGGGTCGACGTAGATGCTAGCATCGACTTTTGAGAAGATGATTATCTATCACTAAATCTACCGGTCACTCGATTGCGATACCATGCATTATTTCTTTGCCGCTGGGATTTTGAGCGGAACCTTGCGCATGGAGGGGTTCGGGGAGGAGTTCTATCATTCCACAAGCAGTTGAGCATTGACCCGCTCCACCTCCCTCGATCGTTTCTCTAGCCACTCATCGTCGTTCATTCTTCCGCTTGCAGTTCAATCTATTTCCATGTGTCAGCCCACGCCAGCCGCTCCACGGCACCTTTGCCTTCGCGTGCATCCTTCTTGACATTGAGAAGTCCCCTTTGCGGATTCAATATCCGAGCTGTCAGAAGCAGAAATATCAGGGACGTCTGTGGTCAGGTGCACGTTTGCATGATCGTCATCGTAGGGCCTCATGACGTCAGTCGAGAGTGTGGTGTCGTAGCCGACGGCGCGCGCGACGCTCAGTCCAATCGAGTATTCGCCAATAAATTAGTGAGGTGAAATAAGTCGAGCCCCCCTCAAGCCATTCCCCAGAGCAAGAGTAGTTATCACAGAGCGTAGTCCTCAGTGGAGGGAGTGAAGAAGATGAAATTCTCAAGCCCACCCCACATATGGCGGGTCGCTCGAGGAAGATTCTATTGATGACTTTCTTTTTTAGGCTAACATGCCTCCGCTATCGCACAGCCTTCTGTCTCAGATTCGTCATCGAGAGCGTCATCATCGAAGTACCCCGAGGTACCGAATTCCTCTGCAATCTTTGAACCTGAAACAAAGGTCTGTCGCCGTCGTTGCTCACACCTGATAGCTGAGCGTTCCGGAGGAAGACAGATTTGTGTGAATGATCATTTGGGGCGATGATCTACTCGAGAGGGGATACTCTCAACGGAGGCTGAAGACCGAGGACGGTTCTGATTGGAAGAAGCGGTACACGGATTCGAGCCGAATGCAGTGGGGACGACGTCCTGATGTCCTGATGGCGATATCCTGATGGGTCGCTCCGAGGCGGGGTTTTCGGGGGTAATCTCAGACAGTGTACAAACCGGCGTTTCCTGTATGGAGGGATAGAAAAAGCCTCCATTGAGTTGGGAGGTTCCGAGGCTAGGCCGGGTCGCCATTGTCGCATTCAATTATTCTCGCGTCATACAACCGAGCAATCATCCTGATATCTCCAAGGGCATCCGTAATCAGAACACGAAGTACCTACGAATGGCTTGGATGGAAGATTGTAGGTTCGCCATCAAGATACGATCCTCACGCGCAGGAGAGCGGGAGAGAACGAATTCGGAGGTCAGTGACGCTTGAGTAGACGTCCGGCGAGGGACACATTCAGAATCAGATGCGAATATCTGGGAGTCAGAACAACATGGCATCGAGATAATCTTGGAGTTCTGACACAGTTTCGCCCATCCTCTGGAATGAGAGTTGCCATCCGGAGTCCGAAGTGTGTAGGACGCGACAGTATCCTTGGACGGCAGACCCATCCTCCGCGATGAGCTGGGCTCATTCAGATTCCTTCCGATGAATACTCTGAGGAATGAGAAGCGACCTTAGTTGATACCCATCGGAGCGGGTAGAATTTCATACATTCGATTTGAAAAGCGCATTGAGCGCAATCTGATCGAGAAGTTCACACTTTGAAACGATAGAGTTAGCGGGAGCCAGCATGGGAGCCCCGGAAATGACTAGTCCACAATGCAGCCCCAAATCCTGAATTCAATGCGACTTCGAAAGCACTTGCAAGTGGTAGTGGGGTTTTTTAATTCCGATCTCGAAAATGCCGCCCCCGAAAGTGCCGCCCGGGGCGGAGCGCCCCCTCTGCCCCCCGGAGCACGCTACTGTTCTGACCGGATGGGTCCGTCGGCAGACTCGGGGCGGGATCGAAAATTCGTATGGATGTAGCTCTTTCTCAGAACTCTATATGCAGGAAGACCCTTCGCCACTCGAACCGATCTCGGAAAACTTCTCAGAGCACTCCCAGGCTCTTCCTCCGAACAACTTCGAATGTTAAACTCCGACTGGGCTCATCGTGACTCGTGGCTAATCATTTGTCGGAGAAGACAGGATGTCCGTCCTTGAAGCCTACGGCTCGTTCAAATTGCTGCCACAAATATCGCCTCCTGGGCTCATACGTATGCCCGCCTCTATCCGAAGGAGCACCTGTTCGAGAATCACGGCGAGAGCCCGATGGTATTTCTGGGTGATCAATGCTTTGATCCGAATACGGACTCCTCCGAGGTCTACTTCATTGATTGTCAACGGCGTGGCGGCGAGCAATGATTCACCCCATCCGAAGTCGGGAGCTCTAGACTCTGTAAGATATCTCATCACGGGAGCTGTGGACACAGGGGGGGCTTGAGCGTCAGTCTGGATTAAACTTTGATTTGTCCGGAACCGGAGTTGGGAATATGCTGGGAATTTCGCTTGCGCGAGTTGCCTGTGGCATTAGATGAGCGGAACATGGAAGTCGATGCTCTTCGGGGGCGTCCCCTGAGCCCGAACCGCCTCCACTGCTCCACTGTAGCTCAAAACGATAAAAAGTCCGAAGCTGGGTAGATGAATACTTTCCGTCCGTAAGGACCTCATCAGGCCTTGACCGCTCAGCCTAATCTCGCCAATGCTCTAGGAATCCTTCGGTCTTCTCTTGTATGCCGCTGAAGTGATGCGAGAATCGAGCCAATCTCCAGTGAATCTCCCGGAGAGCAAAGTTTACCCAAATCATCTCTCTGGGAGGGCCTCGGATCCCGTCGCCCATGCCCTCTACCCATCATTTCGTTTGGCTTCATCCTCTACCTCGAATATAACCCACCGATTAATCAAAATATCAAAACTTCCGCGGATCGAGAGCTCTGAGATGAAACGATCTTCGGTTCAACCCTACTCATGGTGAAAGTCAGCGGAGAGGCTCTCAATATCTTTTGCAGCGGGGCTCCGCGCGAGCGCTGCGAGCCGAACCACGATCACCACTCCCCTTCTTCGAATAAGAGGGGCTCATCTTCGCGGTATTTGTTCTCCTCAAAACTTGATGCATGATCGCCTTTCAATGACAACTTCAAGCGCGAATCGCCTGGGTCTGCATCTCCTCCTTGACGACGAAAGGATCACCAGGCGGAGAGATCTAACTTCATAGTCCGTGATCTTAGAGCTAATATCCCATATTTATTTCCAAATCAGCGTGAAGTCATGGTCGCAAGCAGAAGCTTCAATTATTAGGTATCTGAAGTCTCATGCCTTTTCGATTTCACCCTCTCGTAATACTTGATAGTTCTCTCTTGGCTTTCTTCCGGGGTGTAGCAGGGGTAGTATTTCAAGCGGAGGGCTGCCTTCTGCCTGTTGAAGAATACAGACATACAGACGGCGGTTATTTTCGATGGTGTCGGGAAGAGCTCTCCTACCTGAAGAGAATTGAACCCATAAATCGTTTCGCTCACCGCAAGCTCGGCGGAGGGGGGGCGGGGAAAGGGTCATCCTAAGAAGAATCGACTCGAAGATCTGATCCGAGCAGAGGCGACCCACCTGATAAATGGGGCGGATGATCCTGGCCAGCGTGCTCAGTAGTAAAAGCACGAAGACTACGGCCACATACGGCAGGCTCAACTCGCTCAACTTCATTTCTTGGGCTTCGACGAACGGTTTTATCGACGCGTAGAGCTCGTCGAGAGGGGTATCGTCAGTGATGAAGAATGTTTCCCCCGCGCACTCAGTGCTCTCGCGGAGGCGGTCCTTTGCCAGGATGTGCGCGTAGGCGGCATTTCCCGCGTAGGTCAGCTGTAATTTGAAGCGTCTCGAGGTTCAAAGGCCATGAAGAACGTATTCGGATATGAGCAGATAATTCTCCGGCAGAAATGCATACTGCCGGCTGACGTACCTGGAATCGCTCGTCGATGAACTGGATCTTTGGGACCGTTCCCGTCCAGTAGAGCTTGCCCACGGACGTCATTCTAGAGATGAAGTGTTTCTCCTCTTCTCCGAAAATCACAGTGGGACGCAAGACGCAGGTGCGGAGTGTTCCCTCGCCGTCCCTCAATGCACGGGAATTCGCCTGAATGGGACGAACGAAACGTTGACTCGAATCTGTATAGGAATTCTATGATCGAATGCGATTCTGTCATTTGGGATCAGGCGCCGGAAAATACCTGAAGAACCAGTTGCTCGGCTCGGAACTTTGTTTCGGCGTACGATCCCATCAGAAAGCTCCTCGGTTTGAATGTCGTAGTCTCGGTCCCGTAGAAAATGTGATTAGCGCCGATAACCGTATACGCCGTGGATGTGAAAACGAGGTATGGAACGTTTTGTTCGATGCACGCGTTGATGACGTTCCTAGTCCCTTCAACGTTGACTGCCTCGAGGGCACACTTGTCCGGGAAAATCGAGATGTCCACCAGGGCCCCGCAGTGGATCACACAATCTACACCTGTAGAGAATTGGCACTGTATCTCTTCTGTTCACAGAATACGGGCACGCGCGGAAGGGAAGGACGGATAGGGCGTCGGAGGTCCTCTACAAAACTCTCGAAACTGAAAACTGACCCTCGCAAGCTTTGGCCACGTCTCTCGCGTTCGCGAGATCCCCTCGAATCTCCTTCATGGGCTTCGGGGTCGCGTGTTCCAGATTATTCCTGTAAGCACGGAGATCACTCATCCTACCGCTTGTAGTTCGAATCAGGCAATTAGATTTAGAATGAACATTTTAGGAACTCACTCATAGGGCAGCAAATCGAAGAGAACGAGGCTCTTCGTGTTCGGGTCTTTCTCTTGCAGCAATTTCACTACATGCTGACCGATGCAGCCGCTGCTTCCGGTGACCAAAACTGTATTCGTCGGGCGCCCTTGGATCACCGCTGGTACCATGTTGCGAATAATTGATCTTCAGACTCCAGTAGGAGCGATATGGGTTGAGGTCGCGGGAGTTTGTTATATACCCTAAGCAATGTATGCTAGAGAAAGAGAGAGGGATGCGAACCGAGAAACGCCCGGAATTCCACGATAATGATGGCCGCACGGGCTCTGGGCGGTCTCATCGTCTCAGATGGGCATCGAATTCAGAATTCCCGCGTCGGAGGCGGGGCACCTTTCATTCAGACTGAGTTCTATGGGCTAGAGAGCAAGCGATTCCGGAAGTCGTGATGATGTCTGCGTGAACGATCGGTTCGAGGGAGCCCCGCTGTGATCTCGAGCTTCACCTCAGCCGGCCTATGGACGGTGGGGCGCCGCTTTAGAAATAACGGCTCGAAATCATGTTCCCGAACATCCGGATAAAACTCATTCAAGCTACAGCGTTGTTCGAGCAAAGCGGCGATTGCGACAGAATTCTGTGGTGGAAGCGATGCAGAGGACACAATTTTCAAATATTCTGTTGTAGTTAGGATTCGGGCTCTGCACAACGGCGGCAGACTGGCGTGACGTGGAATTGCGTAACTACATCGACTCCAGATCGATTATTCTCCCAATGAAATCCGCGAAAAATTTAAATCTATCGAAATTGCCGTAGCTTTCAAAGGAAGTCATGACCGTCAGTACTCGGAACCTCAGAAACCTGCCCGTTCATAATAGACTGCCCGAGTAATCAAGACTGCCCACTTACTTCGTCTGTCAACCAACAAGAAAATCGGGACCGGTAGCTCATTCTGGCACATTCAGGATTTAAATAATCAAATGGATACCCGGAGCATGCTAAATACCCACCCGAACGAGCTGCGAGAGCAGTTTCCCTTTCTTCACGAAGCGGGGACCTACCAGAATTTCTACTGTCAGAAATGCCCGTTTCGGATACTACCCGTTCATTGGAGACTGCCCGTCCATTTCCCCCATTCTACGGAAACAGTCCGTTTATCGGAGATAGCCCATGTCTTCGGGACTTCCCTCTTGATGGAATACCAGCCTAAAGATGAGCGAGTCCTTGCGAGTGCTAGGCTCGCCTGGGTTTGGCGAAGAAACGAGGCGTGCCTCAAATAATGTTATGGGAAAAAGTTTTAATCAATTCTTGGCTCCATGCAGGACTCGGTTTCACATCGAAATTTCGTCCGAAGAGAGCGATGGAGGAGTAGGCCGAAAGAAACTCATGTAGATCGCGACCGCGGAGAGGATGAGCGTAATCGAAAACATGATTGCTCTCAGGACAAAATTGTCCGTCTTCTTCAGCTTGATCTCGTCGCCGGGGGCGATCGGCTGTACTACCGCTTCGTCTAAACCTTGAAAGTCTTCGGGATACATGGCGACGAGGTATTTGCAGCTCGCTGCAAAGGACAACGTATCATCAGTTTTCCACTTCACCTTCGACAGAGCGTCGGGCTGATTCTATGTATCCTCGATCTCTTCGGAATGGAAGGATGGACAGGGCAGCCTCCGGTTTCGCGTCCGGCCTCGCTCGGTGGAGGTGAAGAAGTGATCCCCATGATCTGAACTCGCGCGGCTCTTCCTGGGGAAATATAACTAGAAACGCCCGACGACGAACTCGAAAGGGAGAGAAACCGTATGTCTCTTTCGCGCCGACTCCTAATGATGCCGAATTATGGACCCGGTTTCCCAAGATGAGCTCCAAGGTGAGGATGTTCATGAACGACAATCAGGATGTTCAGAACATCCTCTCAAAGTCCGAGATTCTCGATTCTCGTCTTAATCCCAGCATCCTATTCTGCTTTCCGCATCACCGTGATTCGTCTCTCGTCGAAGAATTCGAATATTCCCCTCGGGGGGAACATTCCGCGGAACCCTGACGACGAAGATTCTGTTACCAGTCATCGTATCAATTGGCTGCCGTATGTACGTATCTGCTGGATTATCATGGGTGCGAACGCTTCTCTCTGTCCTCGAGCACCTTGTCAACACAGAAGATCGGTCATCTCCATGGATCCGATGTTTTACAATGAGTTCTGGCTACAGGACTGATGCTTCGCCGAACTCGGGGGATGCCGGCAGCGCGCCCGATCAAGTAGGGTGTACTTATTATAGCGGGGCGCGAGCCGAGAAGTCAAAACTCCACCCTACGCTTCTTGCTCTCGCAGCCTTTGATGCTCAATATTCCATTCGAGATGAAGAGACGTGCCGGACACGGTCCGCATGCGACTGCCCCCGCTACACAATTTGACGTCCCCCGACTCGAAATCAGTCAGATCAACATGATACTACAGCGTTCGCGACCACTACTTTCGCGACTCCGCTGGAGTCCCGTCGATACGAGGCAGAAATTCGGAAGGCTGTCTGAAACCGACGTGATGCTCTCTCGCTCAAGGTGAGCACTCGACTCAGATAGCAGTCCTTCCAAGCGTACTCACATGATTTCAGACAGAGATTCTTGTTTTGCAGGTCTAAGCGAGCCTCGCAAATTATCCTGATCTGAGGTTGCAGATGGGAATTGGGCTCGTAGACCTCAGCGGGGACTCCTACAGATCGGCACTGCCAATTTTTTGGCTCGAGCACCTGGATCACTGAGGAAACCAAATGTTTAGCTACCCGCCCTGCGCCACCGCGAGGCGTCTTCGATCTTGATATCGCGGCTAATCGGAGTAGAGATTCCACATCCATGGCAGGAGTATGGAATCGATACCTCGATTTTAAAGCGGGTCGACTACGATGAGGAGCCCCGGACAGTGAGCGATTCGGGCGCAACCGAACTGACCAGCGTCATATTTGGCGGCCGGCACGAAGCATCTCGCTTTAGTCATGTTGTACTCCTTGCACCTGATGCATTGCACTTGTTCCTCGAATGAGAACAGATCCAAGTCGATCTGCGAGTGCTTTTCGCTTCCGAGTTCATGTCCTGGCGAGAATAAGTTCATTGAGCACTACATTAATCAATTCATTCCGGCCTCGCATGGAATCGCGAAAAGCTCCGTCGATCGAGAACACTCCAACAGACCTATGCAATTGTCCACAACTCCGAAGTGCTCCACATAGATCCGCACGTGGGCTTTGAGCTCGAACTGGTCGGGCTGAATCACGGGTTTCGGGAACCCTGTGGCTCTCGATGATGCTAGCTCTGCACTGGTACTCGATAATGTTACGTCCGCACCGGTACTCAATGATTCCGGGCCTGCGCTGGTACTTGATGAAGCTGGGCCTGTACAAAGGAACATGATGACGACGACTCCGAGAGAGTATCGCCCCATTGCGTCTGCTCGAGTGGAATACGGAGCTCGTCAACGGCCAGCGGTCAGGCAATCCAGGCTTGTTGCATCCGCTCGAGGCTTCCTGTCACTAATTGTAAGATCAGAAGACTGGCTCGATCATTCGAGTTCAGGCAGGAAAATATTCATCCAAAGCGATGGACCAGCTCAGAGCGGCTGTTCCTCCGCGGTCCCCGATCGACATCCGACGACAACGATGACACTAATTATTGTGGCCACGGCCGAATAGATTTTCGCTCGAAAATTATTTCTTTTTTTCTGCAGTACTTTGGCCGAAACACGCCGCCGTCCGCCATTATCCCCTTCCGAGTCTCTCGAACTGGTTTGAGCGGAGAATCGTAAGTGACAGCAAAAACTCTCCTCGTTCTTCTGGGTGACGGAAGAAGTAAAGAAATATAAATGGTTGAACGGAATGCGTTTTTTTATTATTGCTTCGAGTACCCCGGGGCAAAATGGTTTGATGGTGTATTTGATAAGGGTTCACTTGGATCCGACGATATCATGTGGACATCAACCTTCCAATCCAGGCGCGAAAAGGCTCAGTGTATCCAGTGGTTTCACGCATTTCCGTCTTTTGACTCTAACCAGGAGGACGACAGAGGGTTTTGCGAAATCCGGGCACCTGTTTGCTCGCTGGTCAGTGGCGAGGCGCCTCGTTATACTGCTGGTCAAAGTCAAAAGCACTAGAAGCGTCTTAATGCTTCACCATGCAAAATATGAAATCACAAGGTATAGATAAGTAATTAGGATCGGCCTATATGAGTCTGTGGCAATAGGCGAGAATATGAATAAGAAGGTACAGGAACCGATCAGCCTGGCCATTCGGTGACTCCACCTTGTGATCATCAGTAAGTCCAGAGCCTTTGGAATCTTTCAATACTCGTCGTCCCGTTGGGGTCGTCTCGATTATTCCGATGCTCGCGCTCGGAAATCCTCGATCCTCCAGCGTAACACTTCGCATAGGGGATGCTTCATTCCTGACCGAGATAGATGAACAAAACCCCGATTTCTGACTTTTCGCTCTCAATCGAAATACGGTCCCCGAGGCGGAATGATACCTCTGCAGAACAAGCAAATGGCCGAATCTCTAAGCAAGTCACCCATGGGAAATAGTTTCGCGGGAACCTTCGACCAAACGTCTCGTAGAGTGTAGCAGTGATAGATATTGAATGATCTTGTCCGGGCGCAGGAAAAATATTTATTCCACTTCAGCTTTCCCTTTCGGCTGCAGTGCGGATGAGGATTCCCCCGTAAGAGGCTTAGAGTGCAGCCCCCGCCGCAGGTATAAGATGACCGCGACCGCAGAAGAAACCATCAGAGCCGCGAATACGAAAACTCCAACAGAAATGGCATCCCACTGAAGATACCCACTCGATTTTAGTTTGTTGGTGTTATTGTCGGTCGCTTCGCCGGCAGCGCCTGTTTCGCGCGTTGCGGTCTCATCCGGGGCACTGGAGGGCTTGAGCGTACTTACGTGAAATCTTCGAGAACCTTCAGGCATGTCATTGGGGTGCATGGCGGCTGTGATTTCACAACTCTCTGCGAAAATCGGGTGTTCTATTCTAGTATTCTTCTACGCTTCGAGATGTTCCCGATGCGGGTCCGCCTTCCTCGGAACCCCACCTACGATTCAACTGGGCCGAATAGGTGTACAATCGAACTCACTCATGTGTACGCAGAGATTATGATCCCCATCATTCTTGGAAGCTCGACACGACAGGTCAAGAACTGGTTGCAGGTCCGAGTGGGCTTCATACATTTCGCGAGGCACTCCAGCAGAGAAGCAGGTCCAATCAGTGGGCTCTAAGACGCCCAGCGCTAAAAAAGTTCCTTCATCAGTTTCAACTGAATGCCGTCCCGGGGCGAAACAGCCGTGAAATTCTTTGTCTCGAATAGTCTCCGGAATCTTGCGAGTAGGTGTAGCCATCCTTGAGAGAATACCGCGGTGGGCTTGCTGGAACGGCAATCCAATCGCGAAATGGCTCACCTATGTCGTACTTTGTTTTCTTTATCAGACATTTCGCCTTTGTCACACCGTATCTCCCACATCCGACACATCTAGTCGACGGTATGTTCACGAGAGTTAGATTCAGCCGGTTGTCCTCCGTTTCTCGTAGCTCGAGCTCTGATGAAAGATCCGCACGTCTGTGAGCCGCTCAAAATTCTTTAAGCATAGACTATAGCTACTTGGATCAACTTAGGTACTCGGCAACGGCAGTACTCACCGCAACATCTCTTATCTTGTGTGATTTCTTTCACGTCCAGTCGGACTCTGGTTCGAAACGAGAACTGGTACGGCGCACCCGTGGCTTCCCGTGGCTCTCCTTCTTGCCTGATCGAATCCACCCGACCGGCCCGGGAACCCGTATCACTCCCGTTCTCGCGGTTACTGAGATCGGCTACAGCGCCGGATTCTCCACCGACGCTCGTTAATGGTACGTCTGAGCCATTTTTCGCGCGAGATCGGGTTTGAACAACAGGCTCGGAGGCCTGCGAACAACAAAGGCTTGTGTGACAGGTCACACAGAGGTACAGGATCGCGACGACACGAGAACTGTAACGCATCTTGGCGACGTCCGAACTGACTGGCGAGAATAGTTACCCAGCACTCCGTCCGATCCAAAATGTTATTGGATTCGCGGTTTGAGAGTCTCGTCGACTTCCCATCGCCCTACTAGGGAGGTCGACCGAACGATCGGCCCGACCGATGGAAACAAGTCAGACTGAGTGAAAGACAAATGCCATTCTGGATTGCCTCGTTTAGCTTTCTTTCACCTGTCACGGTTTCCTCTCGCCTCAGCACACGATGAAACGAATCCATCGTTGGATTCCCTTTCTTCTTTTCGATCGTCTTACGTGGCCGTAATCTTTTCCTAAAAACCTTGAAAAGCGGGGGAAATGATTCCAGATCATGGCTATGGGATCCAGGGCTCACTCGCCAATAATTCACGATGATTTCTGTATAATAGGAATTTTGAGGAATAATGTTTCGGTGAGTAGTTCATTTTTGCTTCCCAGTAAGTGATGTATGCTCGAAACAGCATGAAACTATTCATCCAAGGGTTTATGGACCGGCTCACTCAGCGGAGTATGCGACCCTGCTATTGGTCGTGCAAAGGACTCGGCGCTATTTTCGGTGGTGTTTGTTTTTCACACAACGGCGTCTAGAGGACTGGGATTCGAAGATGGGAATCGTCAATAGGTTAGGCATGATGGACAAGGTCAATGGAGTTTGAGCATTCCCGACTCCCGTGTCGGGCACAACATGGCTCAGATTCGTCGCTGGACATCAGTCTCAGGTGGATGGATACATCGATGAAAGATGCCTGATAGATGCTGAAGCTGGCAGATCATGCTTGCCTCGTCCAATCTGTCCATCAAATACACTGGACTCATTGAAGCCAGAAAGGGATAAAACATCGGCCGATGAGATACGCTTATGATATTTCTCCTCATTACTGGACCTTCGAGACCATCTGATCCGTGTACCATTTATTTACATGCGCATATGTATATATATATTACAGTTCGCAGTTCGTTGGGCGTGACCTAGAATCTCGCCGATTGCAAGGTCTCCTCGGCGGCAATCTCCAAGTTCCTCCGATGAACCTTGTTTATCCTCTCACGGAAGTTCAAAATTCCGTCGCCTCTCCAAGCCGCTTGCAGATCCTCTTGCCTAAAACTGCCCGGATGACAATCCTTAATCGACCTCATTGCGTCACGAGAGCAGATGAACCACAAAATATTCAGGCATGAAGAACTCACCTCAAAGTAGTCGCGGTATCGTCAGGGACCAGTTCTTCGCAAAGATCGGCGCTTATATAGGCCCGCACGACGCGATCCCTCCACATCAGACTGGAAGATCATCAGAAGCATCAGGATTGTACAGTTAAGTCATCGATGACGAGCAATTCAACCGCTTGAGCAATCAACCCATCACTCACTTCAGATAGACCTGTTCTCTCGTCTGGCACCAGCGGAGCCTATGCTGGACGCTTTCGAAAGCCTTGAAATGGTTATCGATGACTTGCAAGGCGGAGAGAATTTTGGACTGGACCTCCAGCCATGTCCTTCCTTTGAAAGTACTCTGGCCACCGAGGGCGTTTCTTATCCAAGTGTGCATGTACGCCGAGAATATACAGACTGCCGATGGAACTTCGCAGACCGTGACGGAACAAAGCACTAGCCCGTCTAGTCTCTGTCGACACTCAAAAGTCACACACGGTATCAGCACAATCTGGTAGCTGTGAAAAGCGGCTCCGATAAGAGAATGCGATGCAATGATCGTCGCATAGGCGTGGAAACTTCTTGTGGATATCTCTCGGGCGTGAGTCCTACCTGACGGTCACCGTCTCTGATTTTTTGTCCGTTGAAATCTTGAAATTTTCTGGCGGAAGAACTTCGTAGAAGGGCGAGCTATCGATGAGGACAGCAGTCATTTGCTCCAATCGAGTTTTCAATTTCTTCAAGAGTTCTTCACATTCGCTTTTGATGTTCCGCATCACTAGCTTCTCACGCCTGGCGAGGGGATTGTCGATCTCAAATCTCATCATCATTCCCTTGGAGTGTCTGTGTCAGAGGTGATGTCACTTTTTAGAGGTCTCTCCGCTTACTTGATGAATTCCTCGAGCGCGGCGTCAGGCTCCAGCGTGACAGCCTTTCGAAGTCGGTCGCGGTCTACTTGGAGAATTTGCTTGTCTGCTCTGACCACCTTCGGGATTGGCTCGCGCTCCACGATGGGCTCCGCGAAGATGGAGAACGTTTCCGGATCATCTGGAAAGCCTGTCAGCTGAATCCCCGAATCTCCGCGTATTTCCCCCAGACTGAACCGATATCCAGGAGGGGTATGTGCGAGGAACGCGAACGGAATCAAGGAAAAGACTGGAAAGCCTTGTCTCGCGAGCGTCTGCTCAGTGCCACAGCTCAGACTATGACTATAAATTCCGCCGGGATTCCCCCGACAAAGAAACAAGCATAAGGCGGACATGGGTCAGAGATACTCACATTGGATCCATTGTTCCAGAGTCCAGTCAGGTTTGGGCATCTCCACCGATGAAACGCTAGAGCGGAGGCTCGGGCGGACAAACGTTGGAGATTGGCTTTGATGCATCGTTGTGGGTTCTCTCTCATCCGTTATGTTGCTGCAGTCATCTGCGTCAATGGTCTGAAAGTAATTTCAGGCCTCGCAATCGGTGATTCTCCGCGAAGCCCCAAATGGGTATTGCTGATCTAGATCAGATCCCCGAGAATTCACGAAGCTCACGTGAGTGGTATGATGTATGGAGTAGGTTTCATTAGTGGCGGAAACTTCGTAAGTTCTCCGTCTTGCATGTGCCGAGTCCGGAGTTCCTCCTGAACCGACAGAGAGTCGCTCCGAGAGAGCTGTTGGCTCCATTTGCGCGCTTCCATCCTCGTCCGAGGAAATAGTCGTTTCGACTGGAGGGCGTCCCATCGTGGCTCGGCGAGTCTTCACGTTTCTCGGCATCGGGGAATCAACAAGAATTTCGTCCTCGGGCTCATCGTTGTTACCAGACGCGTCGCTTCCGGGCGAATCTTCGTCATCGGACCTCTTCACCGGATATGATAAGTCCGCGGTGAGGTTTGATGACTGAAATCGGTAGCTTTCTCGACGACTGACCGACTCGTTCTCTTGGTCACAGCTTTGAGAGAAAGAGGACTGGCTCGGCATGCATTCCACGGGCAGAGTCGGCTGGAAGCTCGTCAAGCCGGACTCCTCGTCCAGCTCCAGATTCTTCACCCCAGTCAAATTGCACCACGATTCTGATTGCAGAACTATTGACTCTTGGGAACTGCGACACCGGGACATCTCGATGGAAGCTTCACCTTCGCTCATGTCTTCATCGGATTCCTCGTAGCTCGCGGTCCTGTCGTCCGTCTGCCCGTAATTGTCGCCGATCGTTGTATCTTCCATTCTCGATTCAGTGGAATTTCGACAAGCTGATCTCTCGGAGGCTCCCGATTGGTCCATGGCCGATTCGACTTTGGTGCTCGAGGAACTCGATGATTGGTTTTCGATACTCGACAGTCGAGCTCTATCTCGTCGAGGGAACACTTCCCCGAGTGTTGGCCTCGTACTGACTTCGGGCTCCGGTGGCACTCGGTCTTGTTTTTCCTGTCGACCTGGAGATGGAGATTCTATGTTTAGCCGATGTCCAACAGGCTAAATCGAGAGCCAGAATGAAGAAAGAACGACCGGAAACGGACAGGCTCCCCTCAAGCATGCAGCCACTAACCCGTTTGGCTATTAAGAGCAGCGTTGATGCCGAAGATGTCGAGAGCCGATTTCGCTTCCTCATTTGTCCTGTCCGATTTAAAGAATTTCGAAGCTACTTTCAAAACCTCGTTTTTGACGCTCTCTGTCTGTTCGCTTCGCAGCTCGACTGGAAGGAAGAATATAATGATGAACTCGAAATTCCGAGACTCTCGGCGCCCTACGACCTACGATATATGAGATTCCACCGCGAGTTGCCGCTAAAAATGATTTGGCCCCCGTCGGGAAGCGAGCATTAATCTACAGTCAAGGTCGCATAGTCCTCCAACTCACCCGCATGAGTCTTATCAGAGTCACTGTCGAGAGCAGTTTGGATGGGCGCTGGGGAAAGGGAGAATTTTAGACGAGAGAACGCCACATGGTTCAACTGGAAAACTCCTCTCGAGTGTACACAGTCAACTTCTCGAAGTTGAACTGCTTCTGATTGGACTTTCGCCAATCCTTTTCCGTCGAATCTTCCGATGGAGCGGGCCCCCCGTCAAAGAGTTCATGAGCAATTCAATGGAGCATTTGGCAACTTATGACGTCATGACGTGGGACAGTCATGGGCGTATTCCCCAGAAAACCAAAATCAGGAGACCTCGACTGCATTTTTGATTTTGAAGTTTCGAACGCAGATCTCACCCGAGCGCGATTTGTCTCCGTCGCAAACGTCTGGTCTGTCGGTTCCCATCGGTTTTATGGGAACGTTCGGATCGATTTCCAAGTTCTCATCGATCCAGTCGAACCCTGCTTCATCATCTGTATCGAATCATAGAACGAAATAATTAGAGGAGCATTCTCTTTTTCAGCCCCGGCAGCTTGGGATAGTACAACCCGTCCATAAGGATTGGTCATCTAGTGCAGAAACAATAGATCCTCACCGTCCAGAGGGAAGCCGATCTGAGTTGTTTCCATGGCAGCTGATGAGGCAGTTCGGTTGAAGTTGCCGAGGGTCACAGAGTGGGAGGCGGTGTGCTCCATGAGGGACATTGTTGACTGCGAAAAATCACGCTGGTTATTCCATCATCAGAGGTTCCGCCGGATGGTGAGGCAGGATGTCTTAAAGGGACCCACGAGTTTCGAGTTCAGGCATTTTGATCAGCCAAAATGAGAGCAACACGTCAGCCCGATGTTCTCTTTCGTATCTTAGCTCCCTCGTGCTTTGATCTCACCTGTTGTCCGGTCGAGTCCAGGTTCGTATGCCGCGTCGATTCATCAGAGTCAACTTGGAATAGCCTTGTGTAATTGTTGGCGCTGAAGCTCACTCTTTTATTCAGCGGACGAGTAAGAGTGATCTCATCGTCGTCTCGCCGTTTAATTATCTGTATGGGGGAATAATTAGCGAGAATAATTAAGGATACAGATTCTGGGTTCATATTTGTCGCGAAGTTCATCAGATGATTCCAACTTTTCTGCAGGATTGAGCTACAGTGACGAGCCGATTGGGATCATCTGATTTACCCCCTCCGAATGTCGAATAACTCACAGAGCGCCGTCCCTGCATTTCGGATCTGGCGGCGGTCTCCTCCTCCTTTCCGTAGAGTACAATGAATTGGAGTTGTCACCATAAGGGAATTGGACTGATCAAAAAACTTCGACTGTGTTCCTCCTAGCTTTGTCCGTTGTTATTTTGCTCCGGGTGCCGCCATTCGAATTCGAAGGCGAGCCCCTCGCCGGAGAGGGTAGTTCAAACTTTTTGGCGGGATTTCCCGTCGGCATGTCTGTGATCAGCTCATGCTGATACCGTACAACATCAGAACCGCCTTTCACCGACACAGATGGAAGCTTTCGAGAGACAGAGAAATCCCGTCCCCGGTCGGGGAAATATTTGAGAAAAACGGATGAGCGGCGCAGTTCGGTATTGAAGAGGAGGAATTAGTTCGAACAGTCCCTCGTACCGGCCCGTTGTAGGCTCATCCGAGTCCGGAACATTCTGAAGACATTCGAACGATCCTCGCATCGAGACCGCGGCCAGGCACGGATATCGCTGCTCCCGGAGATGGATGTGATTAAATTGTGCCCCTTTTCGGAGTGTTCCGGCGAGGAAAAGATGGCGGGGCGATTCCGCAGCGTATACGCAGGCGATTTGGATGGTGCGATGCGCACGCCCTTGAATTCATTCTCCCTTGCGGAATCAGACGCCCCGAATCTGCAAACTTCCCCGCCTTGGTAGTCCTTCCATACTCACGATCAGGCTGCGGAGCATCGGCCGCCGAGTCCGCAGGACGAGTTTTCCTCGACATTTCTTCTCGGATATGATTCTGCGAGCATGGATTCTGCATTGCGGACGAAACAGATTCTCATGTAGCGCCCTCGATTCGCTGTTATTCATTGGTTCGATTTTGACGCGTTAGGCTCCGTCAGCTAGCTATCTCTACTCCATGTGAGTTGATTCATTTAGTCATATAGCTAAAACGGGGGGACTGAAAAAAGTGAGAACGGTGTGAGCGGGGATGATGCTGCGGACTACGTGGGGAACCGTCTGCTCTGACGGGTCCTAGGCCCGTATATCGGAACGTGCGGACTTTGAATGAATCGTATCTAGTCCCACCTATGTCATTGCCTCTCGATGTGTCACCTACGGTATCGCTTGGCTCCCGAGACCTCTAGGGAGATCAATTCAGGAGGGAAACTCCGTCGCAGCCGATCAAGCATGACACGCCGAGCGATTATCGCGAGAGGGTACTCGTGTCGTCGGATAACCTCGTTGAAATGGCGAGCTTCGTAATCATGATCCGCAATCGTTGGGGATCTCTCGCGACTTCTTGGCGGCATTGTTCCTGTTCCGGGGCAGGTGACGTATGAATACATCAGACGGAGAGCCCTTGAATCGTTTCCGGACGGGTGACTTTGAATGAATGCCAGGACAGATTGAACAATGAATGTTCCTACGGTTCGCGGGGAACGACGCGTAGAAATGGCGATGGCACGACACGAAGGCGCATGAATTTTTATAATTGCGCACTGGAGCGCATTACGCTCACTGGCGACACGGATCACAGGAGTCTCTCCTCGTTTTCTTGCATTAAATGATGAATCCATTGATAAGCGAGCCCTTTTGGGCCGGTGGCAGGAGGAAGGAGGGTACACGGAGGCTCACTTGTCAGTGATCTCAGCGGTGCCCCTCATGCGGGAGCCGCCGGCTCATACTGAAGCTCCGAACGAACCTCTGGGGCTCCGTATCGTCGTGCTCACTACAACACTGGTGCCGAGCAGTTTCGCGATGGAAAAAATTGCGAAAGCAAATATCAGTCGATTGGCCGGTCCCCAGCATATCGTCGATTACTGCGGAGGGAAATGTGAAATCGCTCTAGAGCAGGCGAACCAATGTGCCCGCAGCGGCTCTCAGACCCGTCGGATCGCGCTGAATCCACCGGCTCGAGATCATAGAGCTGGCCATGATGAGCTCGAGTGAGCTTCTATCCCAATGCAATTCTCCACGGCTTTCCGTTGATCAAGGGGAAGGATGAAATTCCTCTCATCGATTGCTATGGACGAGCATGAATTTCTTGGCCGTCCCTGTATGTAGTATCGAGGATAAATTCACAAAACTCATGATGTTGGATATCTGGGTAGTCTGAGAAACATTTTCGGCGCGAGTGGGCCGATCACAGTCCAAAGGCTCCTCGGCTGGATGGCTTTCCGCTCATTGAATCGTCTCACTCCTCGACCCGAGACGACGCACACGGCCGTGTTCCTCCGACATCCTATTCTCCGTGTTCTTCCTCAGTAAAATGAGTCATCTTTCTCTCAAGTTCGAGATACGAATGATTCGATCCCATGTCTGTACTCTAGTTGACAACGGCGGGAGTCCTCGCTCACGGAGTTGAGTAAACGTAGAGCTCCACGATCGACGCCGGTGGAGCAGAGCGAGGGAGCCAAATGCCGCAAAATATCGTTCAGGACGCGTTGATCAAAGGAATTCAAGCAGGGGTCAATCTTTCTTGCATATTTCCCGCGAATAGATCCATGAACTTCATGCGAAACGAGCGAGCACTTGAAGTTCCTTCCCGTATAGCCGCCTCCGGAGGGCACGCGGAGATGCGATGCTCCGCGAAGTCGTTTCCCGGCGCCACCTCAAATGATGTGGCATGATCGGTATCCAACGACCCCGTTGTACGAGCATCCTTCTGAGCTCGTGTACGGAGCGGAGCAATTAGTTCCCGGGAAGAATCGAGGCGCGCACAGGCGTTCCGTCGCACCGAATGAGGCTATACATACATACATATATAGCTGCATAGCTCCAGTGAGCTCAGCTGGAAAAGATCCCGGCAGCACCCCTATACACAACATCGTTCGAGGCCCTTCGATGAACAGCAGCACAACTGATGTGGAAGCGGGGAATACATCGCTGGAACGGCGCATGTTTAAGCTGCTTATCGATGGGAGCAGCCGGAGACGCCCGCGAGCCCGCCGACACGTTCATTAGCGTAGCCGTCCTTGTCGACGACAACTTCCCCTTGTTACGCCAGCCGACGCGCGAACAGATAGGTCCATTGGAAAAATTTAAAGCAGTCACCTCTTCCTAAAAATTAACGACTCGGAGGTGAGCCGGCAACGAAACACCGAGAGTGAGTCGAGCACATCACGAGAGAGGAAGAGAGCGGTGGGGATTATACGCAGAGAGAGAGAGATGGAGGGTGGGGAGCGAACCCTCGAATTAATTGCACGTCGAGCTTCTCATCGACACGGGAGAAAAATTGCTTGATTTCCGCCTTCGCGAGCGGGAGACGGGGAATTTCGGAAAACGGAGAATCGACGTACCCGAACGCAACGATTCTCGAACGGGAAAAATCCTAAGGCATTCGGATTCGCTGTTGGATTCCCAATACATGCATTAGCGGCAATCGTTTGAGATGAATTTCGGAGTGAGCTTTCATACTCCGTCGTACTCCACCCCTGCGGAGCGGACTTTTTTTGTTTTTCTCCTGGCAGCGACCCATAAGGTTCTCGCTTTCCGTTTGTTTTGTTCCTGCTGCGCTCCCCGTCTCCGCGAGAGCTGTCAAGACAAGCTGCGCAGAGAGAAACTAAATTGATTCGATCGAATTTTCACACTCGAAACGGAAAGACAAACGAAGAAACGATGATGATATCTTTCGGCGCTCGCTCCCGCGTCTACAGGTTTCACGTAGGGCAACGACGCGACGGACAGCTCGAAATCGATATTTTGATTCTCCGAGTCGAAGAGGGCCTGTTTCAAGATGAAGCAGATTTCCGTTTTTCGAGTTGCCTCTCAAGTATTCTCATCGACGTCGATCTGCTGCTCTGCTCAATGACGTATACGGCGCTACCCCGTGACGCATCGGGCCCGACGAGGCTCGTCTGCATTCGAGAATGTCGTCCTTCGCGACCTAAATTTGTGGTCTTCGAGCGACCGCGCGAGAGGGGCCGAATTCATTTTCGGAGTCCTAAATGGTTGGTTCCTCGGGAAGGGCCCGAAAAAAACTCTCTACTGCCCATTGTGAGTAGAAAATGTCGCTCGTTGCTTATGTACTCGGTTCGTTGGCCTGCGCCTTTCGTTCTCTTCACTCCAAAGGCGAGGATTCCTGCGAGATGAAATTCCCGACTATGAAAGAGAGAAGGCGGGAGGGGCCATGGCGTCTGTCTCGCTATTCTCCCACAACTCCCACATTCCCTCCTTGCTCTTCCGCGGGAAGAATAGCGTAGAATACCGACACTGGCCATTTCCGACAGCAACTCAACATTCCGAACTGTTTATCATATTTATTAAGGCCGTCATTGAACCCTCATCGTGCAGCCATCTGCGGTCAGTTCCGGCGACGACGTCAGGCATTTAGCTCCGCAATACTCGGAGACGATTGAAAACATCACACACGTCTAGTAGCTCAACGACGGCATCCTCGCGCACAGAGTCCAGCTTTCCGACGTGACGCGGGGCGGTTCGAGGAGGGACTCGAGAATAATTCGGGAATCCAATCGCCTTCAGGAAGAGAGAAATGGTTATCGCATGGGTTCTCTCAGCAATCCGATCGACCAGTTCACTTGAAACGCCGAAGGTCTCGATGAAGGGGTTATCAGAGATGACAGACCACATAGCAGGCCTAAGTTCCAGCCCTCCCGACTCAGCAGAGCGTCTTTGTTCGCTCCCAAGGCCGGATGCTCGGACATGTCTCTTGCACGAACAGCAGGTATGTGCGTACTCGCATGAGTTTCCAAGGATTCTGGAGATTTCCCGGAATTTTGTGTATTCACACGTACCCTACCTGTTGCTGTGTGAGCCCTCCTTCTCGCGGTACGGAAAGGGCTCCGAGAGAGGGCTCGGTCCCTTCTGACTTGCTTGCAGGATTTGCTCCGTTCCTCTTCAGTCGGAGCTCGCGAGAACGCTCGATGCGTCGATGCCCAAGTTCCTAGCGAAATTGGAAGTTCATATGGCAGGACGTCGGCAGTTTTCTCAGGATGTTCCAAAAAAACCGGGACGGCTGGACCTGTAGGTGGAGTGCGTATAATTTTCCTCAATCGATGGAGTGAACTCGTGCTCTCCGTTGTAGTAGCGGCTTCCCAGGATAAGATGCGTCTTCCGTGCTCGTCCTCGAATCATTTTATACTATTGCCACTTCTGTGGCTCACTGGTTGTGAGACGTTCCACGGCCAGCAGAAGAACGGTCAGAAGAGCGGTCACAAGAAGGGGCCTACTTTGAATTTCAATCTATTTTTACGCCAAGAGGAATCGCAGAGAATGTTAGGTGAGTCTATCGGGATCGCTTCTCAGGATAATAATGGGGATAATTTGATCTGTGAGCGTTGTGTGTGTGTAGAACATCCATATTTTCCGCTGTGAATGCCAACTCCAGAGCCATATCGCGCATGGGCAGGCAGGAACACTCACATTATGGAAGGAGAGCCCCACGAGTTCCCATCTCGCGGACCCCGACGAGCCGCCTCCAATTTTCCGCTAGACTTTCTCGAGTAGTGCCTCGGTATCGCGAAATGACGATATGTCGTCGTTCCTTTCAAGCGTCGATTAGCGGCAACGGGAGCTACGCACAAATCGTTTCCGTGTAGCCTTTTCCTGGAGTACAGCTCCCGTCCATACTGTTCCTATTGTTCGGCCGCAGAGAAAATGCTGGCCATTCAGATTCGCATCCGGTCGCTGCGCACATTGACCGGCGGCAAAATATAGCCCCGTATATACGTCCGATGCTCGGATCGTGTTCCGCGAACGAAAGACGCTTAACGTCACCACAATAGACGTTCGATGCCCTTTCTCGGTACTGTCTCTCAATCTGAGAGTACGTACGTTCGGGCGCACCGAGCGTGAGCTCGACTGCCCTGCAGGCCGAGTCCAAGATCAATGGCTTGTAATAACGCAAATGTGCCTTTTACTCGGTGCCAATTGCTTCCAAGCCATTTGTACGACTCTTCCGGGTGTTCTACAGTGGGAAGAGGTTGTCGATCCATAAATATCGGGCCCATCTTCGATGCGGAGCGCTCGTCTCCGCTTGAATAGATCGGCCAGTTTTGAGCTGGGGTAGCGAAACATTTCATGTTCTGTTTGTCGTGGAGATTATGATCATTTGCCGGCGACGGGAAGGCATCGTCCGAAAATCCCCATGTTATACAAGAGCTGCGCCTTTGGCTTCATAAAAGCTGTGTACGTAAGCATCGAGGTAAACACCGCCCTTGCCTCGGTGCTCGCTGAAATCTTTATCTGAGTTCCGAGCTCATCAAAAAATACGCGTCCCCGCCTCGGCAAGCCTCTCGTTTCGCTCTCTTTTCTAGGAGTGAACGAAATCGCGATAGGTGCTGGGTCGGGCGAGCGGGAATACCGGTCCGGACGGTCGAGGCATCTACCCAGAGGAGAGGCCGACGAGTCCGCAACGGGAACGATAGTATGTACAAGACCATAGGTGGGTGCGTGGATGGGTTCTGCTGGATGGGAAAAAGAACTCGACTTGTAAGCAAGCAGTCTGGCAGCTCTACACAACTTGTCTGAGTGAGTTGAATTGAAGAGTTGATAGAAACGAGTTGAGGCGTGAAAGCCTCCAGACGTCGACCATTTCACGTAGTTCTACGTAATGCGCTCCAACGCCTTTGTTGAAAAGCTTCTATCGGTTTCAGCGGAACGACAAGAGAGCGAGACAGCGGGGGGAAAGAGGGCGGAGGGATTCAGGGCCGACGGAAAAGACGAACGCCGGAGGGAGTCAGACCCTTGCTCAACAAGCTGTCGGTAGGTAGGCAGGTACAAGTGACCCGAGCGACGGAACTTTCCGCTGACTGGGGAAGACGCACGCTCGCAATCGTCACTCGACGGAGGTGTTTTCTCCCGAGCGAGGTGAGGCGGGAATCCTTGTTTCGGTCCCTCCGGCCCCGAGTTTCCAGCGCTCGCTCGGCAAAGAGTTTACTTATCGTACAGCGAACTCGAGAGCCTCGACCATGAGTCCTCGACGTAATTAGCGCAAAGTGGACATCGGGTATCGGAATCCGATATTTGGTTCGACCAAACTAAACGTTGTAGGCTTCCCTAATGACCTGCGCGACAGTCTTCTGGTGGATTTGCTCGGCAGTTGCTTGTCGGGACCTTCCGTTATCTTCGCGTAAGAAACACCCGGAGGGACTCGGACGATTCCCCCAATTTCCAGACGATGACGATTGCCGGGATGGGGGACGAAATCGCTCCGCGTGCTCGAGGTTCGAGTCGACGATGAGAAATGAAGCCGCTCGCTTACGACGATACACTCCGTTGGTCATGATGGCCTCGATTCCCGGGAATCAATTGTGTGATTCAGATGACCTCCCCACTCATATCTCCTCAGTCTCTTCGCAACTCATGGGATGTGGCAGACCCGGACCGATGAATGCGGATCATTCTTCGAGTCGATTTTAATTCATTCTACGAGACGGCGAATAGAATTTCACGGCCCGGTCGATCGACGGTGGTTCGGTGGGTCCCGCGAGGAGCTTACGTCTTCGCTCGGACGTCCACGGGGAGAATAGAAGCGACTCTGAGACAAATTACATCATGACCACAGATGTCGGAATTATTCTTGAAATGAGGGCTCTTCGACGCACTTCGATTGATCGACCGATTTCGCTCGAGAGGCGGAGGGCAGTCCTTTTTTTCGCGAAAATCGACGTATAGCGTTGGAGCTCTCTAGAATACGTTCACCCTGCATCAGGAGAACCCGATGCGCAGTCTTCGTCTGATGGATTCCATTGGGGAGGCGCTTTGCAACTGTGCTTCGCGAAGTTTCCCTCGAGAATGGATTTCGATGGAAACCGCGAGGCATCGAGGGACGATGATAGTTAGCCTTCGACGAGCAGCTGAACGTGCTTTCGCAACTCGACGAGTGCGAAGCTCGAGAGAGCTCGGATCCAAGACCGAAGCGCACACCTGGAACCGCGACAATACATCAGCAGCTTCTTCGCTATTCAGAAATTGCAGACTGTGCACGCGCTTCCTTCTGTGATGCAAATTCCATTGACAAACAGCTCTCCGAGACTTTACTTTACTTCAGATATATTCTTCATCCTGAATAGGTTATCGAAGTGCACGTTCGGATCTAGGACGAGGAGGCACCTCCTCTCCTTTTGATCGAGCTGCAGCGCATAATAATAAACGATGAGTCGAGAGATGATTACGGATACATAAAGATATCAGCCGAGGGCAGGAAGATTAATGTTGAGTGCAGGGTGGGTAAGGAGGCTTATCTGCAAACTAAAACCTCCTCTTGAAAACATACGGTCTTGCCTCAAAGCGCCGTCGCCGTCTCCGTTATGTCGACGGCGCAGGTTCATCGGTGGAATCGCTAGAAAGGAGGCTAGACGGCCCTCAATGAAAATCGACTCCAACTTCTCCTCGGTCGTTCCCTCCCGAGATCCAGAGGGAGGAAAGCTCTCAGGACAAGCGAGTTTGGACCACACGTTCGCTTCTCATTGTTTGAGCAGAGTTTGTGACCAAATTGATTTGTCGGTCTCGCTCCGTGTTTGGATCCCCGGGCCAAGCATTGGTTGCATTTCACAAGAGCCTGAGGGAAATCAATGAAACCCAGGGCGTATTTGTCCAGTTCGCTACTTCTTTCTTGTCCTGCCATTCGATGTATCTCAGTTCGGATCGATGTTCTACTTGCGTCGGGAGCCCGAGTAGTAAATTCCAAGCTTTACGGTTTCGCGAGTCGCAAACCCGGGCGATGATATTACCTCGCTGTTTTCCTCCCGATTTCGCGACTGTCTTGTCGTCGACCAGCCCGACTTCGGGACGATGGAGAGAATCCCGTCACAGACGCTTCACTTCACGAGAAGCATTCGGTCGCTCACGTGAGCCCCCGCTGAAAATGCGACCCTTTACCCGCAAATCGAACGCGTCAGACTCCCGCTCCCACTTAGCATTTGGATGCTGACTCAGTAGCTTCTCGATCGAACCTCGTATCGTCGTATCGAGCCTCGAATTCGGGTAATTAGGGAATTTTACGACCGTGCTATAGCTCCCATGAAGATTCGACCCGAGCAGCTGTTCTGGAGTGCCGCTCCGTTCAGTATGAGAATTGGAGTGAAATTGGAGTGAAACAGGAGACAGAATGGATACAATACAGATCTTCCCTATATGAAGATCTTGAGAATTCTTGTTTCCCGCCATCCGCCCTCCGGCTCCCGCGCTGAGGGCACGCTGGAAGCGCCGAAGTTCTATTCTGTTCGAATCCTCGCCTGTGGTTCCTTGTGTTTTCATTCACGGCATCTCGTGTTCTGGGCTCATTCCCCGGACTCCGCCCCCATCCAGATCCGCGATATTAAATTTTTTCCTTCGACTAGTTTCCCTGCAAGTTGCAATACCTGCCAACGCGAGATTACTACACCGCGCAACTTCGAATGCCAGGCGCTTTCGTTCGAAGTTCTGGGTCGGAGATTCGACCTCGGAGGAAAATTTCTTGGAGAGGTTTTTCCTCCCGCTCGGTTGCTGACGTCTGTGCATCTTATGCCCTTATCGACAAATGAAAGGAGCCACGGCAAGCGCAGGCTCGCGGTTGGAGGGATCCCGGAGCTCCACCGAAAATCTTCGCCGGTAACGTGACCAAAGACAAGAAGATCAAAATTTTCGCTTCAATCGATCGGCCGAGTGATACTCCATTCCGAGCAGGGAGTCCGTGCTCCGAATATTGCTGATGCTACTCCTATTCCTGACGAGCTGGGGGATATCGAAGATGGAGGAGAGGTCAGACAATTTTTTCTTGCTTGCCAGAGGTCCCAGCTTTAGGGGGTAAGCGTCTTATTTTGAGTTCAAAGCCGACCCACGTGCAAACCATGTTTTCCTCTGTCTGTATGCCTGCCTGCTTTTGCATCACTCATTCTGACGGTTTGTGTATGAGATGTAATTCTTTCCATATCAACAGCAAGTGATCGGGAATTCAGGAGCATTCGACGTCTTCGTGAACGGATTATCGGAGTGAAAGTCGAGGGGTGCTGCGGCAGTAGGTACATGTTATGCGGAAAACATCCTCGGTACGTCCAAGATATTTCTGAGTCGGACTCGACTCGCAGCTCCCTCAATTCTAGATCCGAGTCGTTTTCGCCAAACGTAGGGGCGAGCTCCGCGCAATGCAATGAAGCCGGGCCGCTGCCTAGAAACTCGCACAGAAAACTCACGGTCTGAGGTTTAATTGCGTCTCTCAGCGGCAGCTGGATAGAGCTGAACGCTCAGAGCGGAGTCACCACCAGCTGTGTTCGTGGGCCAAAGTTCCTAATGCAACTGAGTGCTGTCCGAGCTCGAACTCGCAAAACAAACAAACTTTGCGTCCGGAGTGGCAAACGACTGAACATATGCCACGTCGAATCACATCCGTCCGAGCGCTTAGAATCATGAATGACCTAGCAGCGAGGTCAGGGAATGCGATAGGTCACCAATCACCAGAGAAAATATGGCTTCGCGTCAATGACCTCTGAATATTCCGGAGAAATTTTACTCATGCTCAGTCAGCCAGAGATGCTCTGCGGAGAGCATCGCAAACTTCTTTAAGAAAGATTCGCGGGTCACACCTAACTCGCTTCAGTGTCGTCCGGGACCGTATTCTTGAAACGTATTCCCTCAGCGTTGACGAGTAGAACCCTCAAGTCGACGGAGAAACCGCTCCCTGAAAGAAGTCTATTCCACAAAAATCGATGAGTCCGCCGGCCAAAAATTCCTTCACTACTCGAGTCCATTGAAGTGATTCGGCTCCAGCAGCCTCGGCTGTCGGAGGATTTAGATCGAAGGAGACTTCCTCGGATCGAGTTTCGAATCTGCGTCAGCTTTCTGAGAAGATGCCAACGTGATGCGTCGCTCGCTTGCGAGCGATTGGAACCAAATCCCCCGATTGACCGCCGGAAAAATTGACGGAATCGCTGTTGCGGAATCCCCGAGCAGATCGCTTCAGAGTAAGACCCCTCCTCGTGGGAGTCGCTGTAGGGTTCCTCGAGATCGCTAAAGCATCCGCTTTATTCGAACGCGGAGTCTCTATTCGATGACTCTCCGGCTAGCAACAAGTGACTTCACGCGGTTTGAGGGATGGTGAGATCGAAGAGCAGACAACGGAAAACGCAAGAAAAACAATGCCGCATCCGAGAAGGCGAATGATGCTCTGAAAGGAACGCGGGAGCTGCGCAGAACGTGAAGGGGAAGACCAAGCTTTCGCGCCGGGAAAAAAGCGCAAAATTGAGGAGCGAAGTCGAGGCAGAATCAATTTTGGCTCCGTCCAATCAAGATTCCCAATCCGGTTCCGAAAAGCTTTCGAAAACTAGCGATGCCAGCTGCGAGCCGAGCTAGTCGACGCGATGAGCCAATGACGCAACAAGAACTCCGTGCGGCAACCACTCCCAACGCCGTCAAACAGACAGCTCTCAGATGGGTGCTGATACTCAACTCTCCCGAAACTTCGAACGGCTGCTCGGTCAGACGTTGTCGTAAAGCTCTCCAACGTTGAGTTCATCGATAATTTATGTACAAGATAAACTTTTGAAAAATTCTCTCCACACTGCGAACTGTTGCGTCGAGATAGGGAGCCCAACAAGCAGCTCGTTAACGCCGCTCGTGAGAATTGATTCCAACTTCGAGAAGTGGATCAGTGCGCGAACTTCGAGGGCGGTGGAGGAGGATGCGAAGCAAGCTAGTTCTCCGTCAATCTTCTTCGGTGCTAGGATCGAGCTGAACGTTGGACCGAACATTAATACATTCTCCGCCACATTCGTTCGCAGGTATCAACGTGTCCTTGTACTACGTGAAAGAAGGCTCAATGAATGATTACGCCCTCCGATTTCCTGTTCCGGTTCCCGGCAATCTTTCCCGGCTGGAGTTCACGTGGCAGAACCTGCGTCCCCAACAGTCCCTCAAGTACCGCATCGAAATGACCGTCGATAACCCGGAGGCCATGCAGCCGCCAAAACTCGACATTCCATCGACGGGTGAGTTCCTCGCCACCTGACAAATTCTCGGAACTTCGCGTGTTCTAGCTCGGGCATCGGCCATACTCAAAACGAGTGTTACTCTCCTCCCGTAGGTAACCTGCCAGTTTCCTCGCCATCATCCTTCGTCGTTTTCCTCTCGTGTACCGGAATGACGAGTGCCGAGGTTCGTATCGGGATCAATCTGAACATAAGCGCAGCTGGAGAGGAAACGTCGACGACCTTGGTGAAAATCCAACGAAAGAAAGTATGTCTCAAAGGTAAGCTGAAAAAAAAACATCTCGGAGGTCGCCAATATCGACCAGCAAGGCAATTGATTTTGATCGACGTTGTGCTTACTCGTTGACGATAGAATTCGAACTCATCGCAATGCCAAAACATGATCTTCCGCAGACGAGAAGAAAACGAGCAGAACATCTACAACACGGAGTCCCACGGCACACGTTTACAAAGAGGATGTCGATGAGGACGATACGGACGAAGACGGGGACGAGGAGAATACAATATTCGTGTCAGAGACTCAACGCGTTGAGCACGGACGGAGGAACACGGCGAACACGTCAAACACGGCCATGGTCATGGGTGAGTTGCGCTCCGCATCATTCAGCGAGGAACCAGGCCGGCTGGCTTGAAGTATCCACACGAATTCAGATTTGACCCGAATTTCCGTCTTTTCCTTACGCAGACGACGCTGCGACGACACCCCTCCTGGTCGCTGATGGCAATTCGTTGGTTTTGTACGCGGTCGCGGGAGCGGCCGTAGTGGTGGCGATGTCTCTGATGACGGCTACAACACTATGCTACGTGCGCACAAGAAAACTGCAGAGTCTGAATCAGCATCAAGGGAACGTGATCATCCAGGCGACAGCGGATAAATATTTACAAGAATGGATTACGGCGAGTTCCACTCTGCACTTGAAAGCCCCGCAGTACAGCAACAAGGGATTCTCGGGGAAGATGCCGGTCGCGACCGGTCCAACCAATCGGTTCCTGCGAGTTCCCGGAAGCCCGGTCGCATCGACCGTCGCGTCGTACTCGTCGTTCCGTAAGCCGAATTTCGGCGTGCCGCCCTCGCCCGCTCCGCCGATGAGTCTTCTCACAATGCACTCGGCGGCCGGTGTGAATAGCTCCGCGGGTCAGTACAGCACCATTAACGACACGTTCAAGAGCAGCAGCTCTACGCTGTCCGAGCAGCTGGCAGAACTCGCTGTGGACGCGCGTTGTTTAACTCTTGTCAAGCTGTTGACAGAGGGCTCGTTCGGGCGAATTTACCATGCTCTGCTGAATACCTCGTCAGGGAACAGCTCAGCAGAGTCTCAGCCCGTCCTCGTCAAGACGGTCACCGAGCAAACAAGCTCGGATCAACGGCGGATGTTCATGCAGGAAGGCATGATGCTCGTCGGGATGAACCACACCAATGTGATGCCGGTCGTCGGGACATGTCTGGACATGCCCAACGGTCAACCAGCGCTCCTATATCCGTTTATGAACGAGGGGAATCTCGCGCATTTCCTGCAGAGGAGCAAATTCTCGAGGAACAGCCCTCCGAGAACGGAGACGGCACATCCTCTGACGACGTTGTCAACTCAAGACCTGGTCGACATGGCCGTCCAAATCGCCGAGGGTCTCATGTTCCTACATCGGAGGTTTTTCCTGCACAAAGATATCGCGACGAGGAACTGCATGTGAGTAACGAGCTCGGACTTTTTGCATGACCGTCCCGGACACGGAGAAATTCGAGGTTCTGTGTGAGATTCGGATCGAGAAGAAATTCGGATGATTTCCTCCCCTCAGGGTCGACGAGCGCCTTCACGTGAAGTTGACCGACAATGCGCTCGCTCGCGACTTCTTCTCCGAGGACTACCATTGGATGGACGACAGCAATCGAGACCAGGAGCAGGAGAAGCGGCCGGTGAAATGGCTGGCTTTGGAGTCGCTCCAAAAGCGGGAGTTCACGCCCGCCTCCGATTTGTGGATGCTGGGAGTCACCCTGTGGGAATTGCTCACTCTCGGACAGCCGCCTTTTCCTGAAGTGGATCCTCGAAAAATGGTCACTTACCTCCAAAGTGGCTACAGATTACCACAGCCGACTAACTGTCCAGATGAACTGTAAGCACTTGACGCTGGAGATCGGCGAAGTGTCGCGAGATCGGCCGCTGTGAGACGATGGGGTTCGTATTCCTAATCAGCATGCAATTCATTCCCGACTATCCGCAACTTTCAGATACGACGTCATGTTCCGATGCTGGTCGATGTGCCCCGGCGAACGGCTCACTCTCCCGCAGATGTTGAGGGCACTTGCCAATTTCTACAATCAGCTTGGGAGCTACATCTGAGTGCTCGGCGCGACCTCAGCATTTCCCTGGCGAGGTGTTCAGAACCCAGTCATTCCTCAGAATCCAGAGAACGCCGACGCGGAAGAATCTGTTCTCCGGAGAATGTGAAGCGAGGAGACGGAAATCGCGAGCCTGATGGGATGTTTGCATCGGATTGTGTATGGTTTAATGAAAAAAAAACGAGAAATTGACTCCAATCGGCTCAGAGTGGGCCTTCCTCTGAGGATGAAGTCGTTATTGGGATGGGGAATGGATGGAATTTCGTTTCTGTGAACCCTCGCTGGACTCGCGAGGCCACGTCATGAGGCGGGCTAGGAACGCTCATATGTTACACCATCACGTAGACTCTATCCAGAGGGGACGAAATCGTCCAGAAAGGAAACCTCGTTGTACTGTGGAGTTTCATCGACCCGATGCAGGATCGCTGGGAATCGTTAGGTTCCCTTTTCGTTGAATGGAGAATGACGGTAGTGGATCTGTCTCGGTCCTGCTCCTCCTAGATATTCATCTGGAGAAATCTTCATCCGAGACGTAATTTGAATAGAAATTCTGTTCTGGATGCATTGACTTATTGGATACAATCCTGGTCCATGGAGTGACTTCAGCGAAGAATATGAGTGCGAGTCTTGCCAGAGTTGTACATACGCCAAGGTCGGATGTTTATGTGGAGGAGTCGCTCCTCGGAGTGGATTAGGTTATAAAAAAGTTGTTTGCGTAAGAAAGGAACGAGGTCTCATTCTTTCCGTTACCTAATGTGGATGCTCCTCTCGGAGCTCTGATTTCGGCATCTCCGGAAAAGGATCCAATCATCCGAATGAACAAGCGAGGTGGGTATCCGATCTAAGGAGAGAGGTAGCCCTCCTTGTGTGCTTACCGTGCATTTTGCAGAAAATTCGGACCATGGACGTCGATGGATAAAAATGAACTGGGTGTGAGAATCATATCATAAAATGCATGAACAGAAGGACCAAGGGCGGCACCGCGTCATGAGGTCAAGCTTCTACTATTCACTCACGGGCGGACGGACGGACGCACGCACGCTCGTGCACATTCATTCATTCGCTCATCTATTCATTACCACGACGCTTAACGAAAGATCTTTCAAAGTTGGAGCTCCTATTCAGAACGAGCTTGAAAAATGAAGATGGACCTCTCTGATGGAGGTTCCCCGAAAAACTAGGTCAGGTAAGTTTAAGTCCGTGTGTGTGCGGATATTCCCTTTGTTTGACATCTGAATTTCCATCAGGGCTCGCCAACTCCTCCTGCTCTAGCTCCTCCTCGCACTCGAAGCGGAATCGTTCTTGAAAACCTTATGCGACCGAGGCACTCCACGCTGGAAATACCGCTGGAGACCGTAACCCTCCGCGGTTAGGCGACAAATACCCCTGGTCGTGCATAGGCGACCATCGGATTGCGATGCCGCCTCTCTTGTATTGTGTTTATCACGCCTTGATGTGTTTGTGCTGCTGCCCGCTGCGTGTATGGGAAACCAAATACAATACATTGTCTCGCCAGCACATCCCTACCGAAAGGTCCGTGGGGACACAGATGAACAAAGCTGATAAAGACGCCGACGAACCAGCGACCAAGCAAGCGGGTGGATGGCGGGCTAGACTTTCCTTATCCATACTCCCTAGGCAGTCCTTTGCCTACCGGTGAAGGGATGTGTTCCGCTCAAAACAATGCAACTCTACCCCGTGTTGTGACTCCGGTCTCCTGTACGAGTGCTCTCTCGCGGACGGCACTGTCGCGGAGCGATTTCCAGCTCATCGCGATAGTTTGTTCTCGCCCGTATGCAAAGCGCGGAAACACGGAGCAAATACCCGATGCATATGAGCACGACACCGGGATGAAGAGTTTCCCGCAGGGTCCATTCATTCTTGATCTTCTTATGGCCGTCGCTGCGCTGCCGTCCGATATCGCGGACCGTTGCGCTTTTTGTCGCGTCGAATCCCCACGGAGCTTTTCGTCACATTCCTTCTTCTACCTGCACTGCTTTTCCGGCCTTTCTTCGATGCGGTGGTCCCAGGAGCGCTTCACGGTCCACTAATGATCTTCACGAAAAGACGAAATATGTTTTTTCTTTCCTTATTCCTCTGCCTAGTCATTCGGGAGCGGAGACAAGCCTCAACGAATGTAGCCGCGGCGGTTCCGCTCGGCCGTATCGCCCCGCGGGAGTTTCGAATAGCCGGACGCTCAGGAATAATTCATGCTCAGGGAATGAGTCGCAATGGTAATCTAAGTCATGATCAAGAAAACATTATTCGCCGCCTTTGTCAAAATTCTGAACCCGGAAATGAGTCCGCGATCAGCTGTTTTGCCGACCACCGAAAAGCTGGTCCTCTGTCGACCGACCGACCGACCGACGGACAGACCGACTGGCTGACCAGTGGAAACTTTAATAATGAACGGGTTGCTGTTCTTCGGACGGGAAAGGCTTCCGTTCGCGTCTGATATAATTTACTCTCGTTAAGGAGAAGGGACATGACACCCGCATTACACCAGCAGCTCCGGCGACGATGACGACAACGACGACGACGACATGGCCCCCGCGTTAATAAGGAGTGATGGCGCCCGATGGTCGTTTTAAATCTTTCACTCTCCTTGCGTTCGGTCTTTTTCCCTTCAATCTCTCTTCCGCTGCCGTCGCTGTCTCCTCCATGCCTCCCTTGTTTGCTCTGCTCTCCCAGTGGCTCCCTTCCCGGATTGAAGACATTATCGACCCTTTTCCAACGACGCGATACTCCCATCGAATTTTCTTTCATCGATGAGCGAATCCGATGGCTATTCCCAGGGCCTTTAATGATCCATCGAGATCCTCCTCAATGGAAATCGGGATGGAGTAGGCACCGGCGAAGGATGAGATCAGCCGGCAAGACTTCCCTGGAAATCATCAGCTTAGCTGAACTGAGAACGGTATGAATGAAATACGCAGAAGACGATCCCACGCTAGAGAACAGACATCACGAGTGACTGTTCCTCGCATGAAGCATCGTACCCGGTGCAGTGACCGCCGCGCAAGGCTGAGCCCTCTCGCAAACCAGATGAAACTAGTCATTAGCCCCGTGTTTAGAGAATTCGAAGGAGTTGTCTTGCCCAGGGGCGCGCCCAGACCACTCCTCCGAGGGTGGTAAGTGCATGAATGGGCCGGTCGAAAGCCCGGTTTCGAGAAAGAACGCATGAAGGGAACACGGCCAGGACACACCGCAAAGGAATGAAGATGACGGTTGCGCCGTCGCCGCTGTTGCCACCGAGGATCATGATGATGATGATGCTAGCAATCCAATTACAGCTTTTGAGGAGCGTCGGCGAGAGCCGACTCGGATAGCTAGCCGGCTCCTTCTTAAATTATTCCAAACAATATCACTGAGAAAGCGAGTCGGAGACGACGGAGACCGGAGAGGAGGGACTTCTTGAAAGGACTCCTTTTCAGATCGTTGGCCTGACTAGCTCCTCCAGCCCGCTCGGATGGTTGGCATTATTGGGCTCTGCTGAGGAAGCACCTCTAGCGTGTCCCGTGAGTTGACTCCCCGCGTTTTGAGTCTCTCCCTTGTTAATCAGATCATGCGACGCCAGCGAGGGGACCGAAGACCCGCCAGACAGCAGCGAGCTGGTTGTCTTTTGTGTATCGAGGAAAACTTGACGGTGGCGGCGCCAACGCAGGCTCTGATCAGCTCAGAGGAGCAGCTTCTTCCAAACCACGGAGCTCAACTCCGTCTTTCGTCGAAACTTCCTGAACAAAGATGGACAACGGCAGAAGCGGCAGCAATCTGTTTCGTTCTGACGACCGCGACGACAAGAGAGTCGCCTCCAGTCCTGACGAGGACAACGGTGACCGCGACGACGCCTTCGTTCTGCCGTTGGAAAAACAATTCCTCAGGAAAACAATTTGTTGGCATTCACGCAACAGGCGGGCGACGGTGGTCGAGGATTTTCCCGGATTGACCATCCGTAAGGCAAGCGAACTGCGAGAGGAATCCTCTTCTGCGTGCAGAGATTGGAATTTCCATATGTTGAGGGCCGTGAAGAGGAAAGAGGAGGGGGAGGAGCAGAAGCGATTTGCATCATACGGCTCTCTGTTTCGCTCTATCATTCTCATGGTTCTTTTTTCGTGCCCGCTACTCCTTTCTTTCGGACTAAGCTATTTGACGAACGCTCAATATGGCGAGCGAGCGTGCGGCTCTTGCGCACTATATGCAAAACGACGTAAAGCACATTGGCATCACTTTACGACTGGTGTAGCTCCAAGTCTGAATTTGCTCTTCCCGTTGGGTTCCTCTTCTTCTCGGGCGGGCCGCTCAACCTGGCACAGAGGATCGACTTGGAATAACTTCGGCCAGGAGAGGACGGGATAACTTCGGACCGAGGTGCCTGAGATCACCCCGGGTCAGGAAGTGAGATAGGGGACCGGTGCGGGGGAGGAGTGAACGGCATTCCCCGCAGCTCCATGGAATGTGGACCTCTTTCGGTTGCGGACTCGCAACCCAGAACGTGGTTTGCTGGGCTCTTTCCTGGGGGGGGAAACCCCCGAAAGGAAACCCCTGAGAATGGATCCCCGGGCGGAGAGTCCCCGTAGGGGAAGCCCCTGGCGAGGGCCCGCAAGAGCCGCCCGCCCGTTGTCTCGCTTGTCGGTGATGGTGGTGGGGCAAGAAGAAAACTAGACGCGGACGGCGTATTGCATCACGTCTCAATGGCCTTCTTCAAAAGCAGCGGCGGCGGCGGCGGGGGCACGCAGAGCGGTTTTGCCCCAACAAAGGATTCTTCTGCACACTCCAAACGGGGAGGAAGATCTGTTGGACGGATATGCCGACTGTTTGTTCAATCACCTTGGTTTATCTTCGGCCCCTTCGGAAGTTGGATTGTGGCTGAGCCACGTATTTCCCCCCGTTGCCTCTAAATTTTATCACGGAATAGAAGTGGGAGGAACGCTCGAAGGTTATTAGTCTCAGAGTCCTACATTCTCGATTCTTGGTGGAATTCTCTTCCGTCTGGGAATTTCC